ACCTAACCAAGTGAGATCAAGAACACATATTCCTGAGCATCCAGAAATATAATTTATGCTATCATGTGCCGAAAGTGTCCGTCTGTTATGTACATTGGACAAACGTCTCAGACACTTCACCAAAGGATCAATGCCCACAAAACAGATATTAGACAGGATCACAAAGAAAAAACAGTTTCTTGCCATTTCAACCAGAAAGGACATTGCCTCAACGACTTAATTACCTGCATCCTGCTTCAAAAGCCTTTTAAGACTTTACTTGAAAGAGAATCCTCTGAACTGTTGTTCATGCTTAAATTCGACACTTTACGCTTGGGTCTGAATAAGGAATCTAATTAACTTACCCATTACAAAGATAGCTTCCCCAATTATCACCTCTAATATCATTAGCTCACAAACATTTACCTTTTCCCTCTCTCCATCCCCCTTCTGTTCTGAAATTTGATTTGTCCTTTTCATATGTGTTCATTTTTTTAATTGTATCCTTTGGTATATATGGTTGTGACAATTTTCTTCCACTATTTGATCTGAGGAAGTGGGTCTGGCCCACGAAAGCTCATCAGCTAATAAACCATCTTGTTAATCTTTCAAGTGCTACATAGTCCTGTATTTTGTTTCAGCTACACCAGACTAACACGGCTACATTTCTATCACTCTTCTATCCCATGTTATTGCATAGTAGAGATGTGAAGACTATGTATACTGTCACGGGAAGTTTTGGAAGGAGGCTTTTTCTGTGGGTTTGTTCACCCTCTGTCTTGAGTCTAGACTACTTGAGAGAAAAGTTTCAGTAGAAATGTGGCTGCTAATGAGTTTTCTTCTCTTGTGGCTCCTCAGCAATTCTCAGTGAAGGAATTCTATTTGAAGATCATTCCCTGGCGCCTCTTCACATTCAGAGTGTGTCCTGGCACCAAGGTGGGTCTGTTTTCATCCAACTGCTGTTGCAGTTCCCACTTCACTGCTGTTTGCTGAATAATGATCTGCCTGTTGGATTTGCTGTTGGGGAAGTAGTAGTATTTTCACTGAACGGCTGCTAAATACATATGATACAGGAAATTAAAAAAACATTTTTCCTACCAGAGTATTATAAATGTGTGAGAGCAGTGTGGATGTAAAAAGTAGTCAAGTTTACAATTAACCAATAAGCCTAGGCTTATTGGTTAATCTTCTCAACTACTTGCATTCCCCCGCCTTGTTGCCTCTGTATCAGAGGCAGCAAGATGGAGAAGAAGGCTTAAAAGCTGGTTCCCCCCAGCACTGACTCTGTGATGCTGCCTTCCTCCCTATGCTGCCTCTATCAGAGGCAGCAGCATGGCAACAAAGAGAGGGGAGAGGAGCCTCTGCCCATGGTGGGTCTGAACTCCCTGCGGACAGAGGCTGTTCCGCATCTCACAGAGCAGCCTCTGTCCGCGGTAAGTCTGGACCTGCTGTGGGAAGAGGTTACTTCATGGCAGCAGCCCCTGTCCATGGGAGGCCCAAGCTCCCAACAGACAGAGGCTGCTCCGCCTCCTGTGGAGCACCCTCTGTCTGCAGTGAGCCTGGGCCTGCTGCAGACAGAGGCTGGTCCGGCAGCAGCCCTGGGCCCCAGGAGCTCAGAACCCCCAGGGAGAGGGGCTGTTTGGCTCTGTCTGTGGGCTGCAAGTTGCTGCATCCCCACCCCACAGCAGCCTCTGTCTGTGTGGGGCTTGGACCCCCACAGACAAGGGCTGCTGTCACCCTGTGCTGCTGCCTCTGTAACAGCATGGGGTGGCAAGCAGCTAGTCCGCAAGGGGAGCTGATTTTTAAACTGGCTTTCCTTACAAACTGGCTCCCACCTGGCAACCCTGTGCTGCGGCCTCGGATGCAGCAGCAGCAGTATGAGGTAGCAGGGGGCTCCTTGGGAGTAGAGCCGGGAGCACACTGGCTGCCAGTCCTGTCCCCGGGGACTATAGAACAGTTGAGTAACTGATAAGAATTCATGTGGTTACTCAACTATTCTGTAATCCAACATCCCTAGTGAGTAGGGGCTGTGCTAGTCATGGTTCTTCTCCGAACTCCAACATCAGGATCCATTTCTCCTAATAGCCTCCTTCCTCCTCCAGTAAAGCATCTAGCTCTGGTCCCCTGAAGCTCCCTGTTTGAAGTGGGCTTTATAAAGGCAACATCCCAGTAGAGATGTGAATGGTTAACTGGTTTACTGGTTAGGGTTAACTGGTGGGGACTGGAGCAGCCCACTGCAGAGTGTTTAATAACAGGCCACTGCAGTTTAACTGGTTAACTAATTAAATGGGATTTTACATCCCTACGTCCCAGCTAGAATCCAAGTGCTGGAGCCAGCATGCTTGTTAAATGGGTTCTGTTGGGGTATGCAGATGGGAAGGTGCGTGTGCGTGCGTGTGCGCGCACTGCATGCTGCACGATGACTTGATCTCCTGTCCTGCATCTCTTTGTTTCTAGTTTTCTTACCATGGGCCTGATCCTGTGCACAAGCTGCTGACTCTGGTGGTAGATGATGGGATCCAGCCCCCTGTGGAGCTCAGCTGCAAGGAGAGGAACATCTTGGCAGCCACTTTCATTCGCTCTCTGCACAAAAACATAGGTAAAAGAGGCTGGTGGGATAGGCATTATGATTGGGGGGCCAGGTTGCTGCATCCCCAGCTTGCGTACATCATGGATTGGTAGGCAGGGAGTTAGCACTTGAGGTCAATTATTCCACTTTACTTAGCTATGTAACCCTTCCCAGAGTTGTAGAGTAGTCATCCATCTCTTCTTCTGCTTCTGATAGCACTTCCAATGAATGGCTCTCATTGTCTCTGGCTTGTCATGCTCAGCAGGCATTTCTGTTGTTCTTCTGAGCGTGGCTGAATGTTTGAAACACTAAGCACAAACTGTCCCCTGGGAATTCTGCTGTGCCTGTCTTCAATAGCAGATCTCTGTGACTGAAGAGCAGGCTTGTACAAGTAGGGATGGAGACTCCCATTCTGACATGTGAGTGTTTATAAGAACATAAGAATGGCCATGCTGTATCAGATCGATGTTCCATCCAGCCCAGTATCCTGTCTGCCGACAGTAGCCAATACCAGATGCCCCAGAGGGAGGGAACACAACAGGTAATCCTCATGTGATCCCTTCTGTTACCCACCTCCAGAGAAACAGAGGCTGGGGACACCATTCCTTCCCATCCTGGCTAATAGCCATTGATGGACCTAACCTCCATAAATCTAGCTAGCCCTTTTTTTAACCCCGTTAAAGTCCTAGCCTTCACCACATCCTCTAGCAAGGAGTTCCAGAGATTGACTGTGCGCTGAGTGAAGAAAAACTTCCTTTTGTTTGTTTTAAACTTGCTGCCTATTAATTTCATTTGGTGACCCCTAGTTCTTATATTGTGGGAATATTCACTTTTTCCACACCCGTCATGATTTTATAGACCTATCATATTTTCTAAGCTGAGAAGTCCAAGTTTGCAGCTCAGGTGCAATCATACGATCACTATTTCAGGAGGCTCAGAGACCTTTCAGGACAAAGTGAACTTCTTCCAGCGGGAGCTGCGTCAAGTGCATATGAAGAGACCTCACTCCAAGGTTACGTTGAAGGTCAGCCGCCACGGCCTGCTGGAATCTGTGAGTGAGCTTGTGACGGTTGGTACCTGGGGGGACAATAGGCTGTTTCCACTCCTGCCCAAGATCTATCCCAGCTCCTTTTGCTGCCATTCAGTTACTCCATAGTGAAATTAAAGTTGAGAAAGTCGACAAGAATGTTTGAGCCTCTAGCTGCGAGGCATAAACTGATCACCAGCTTTGGGAAGGGAAGCAAGTAAAATTTTCCATGTGATAATATAATTAGAGAGCTTTTGAAAGCTTTACACCTTTTTCTTAAATTTCTGGCATCAGTTACTGATGCTGGGACTCAGGGGCAGTTGATCTCTTCTGCTATGGCAATAGTTGGAATGTCCAGGCTAACAGGGTAGTTGGTTTGTGTGTGATAGAAAGCATCCTGAATGCCATCAAGACAAGCCCTATTGTGACAGGAACTGCCTTAATCCAGTGTGCTTTGTTCAGGCTTGGTAACTGTTCTTGTTTGTGGGGAAACTGTGTACCTCCCCCTTAAACTGTAAAAGCCAGTTATGCTCTGAGCAAGAAGGAAGCTACTCTGTGAATTACTGTCACTGGGGTAAGGGTAGACCAAACCAAAGTATATGGAACTGTGGCAATAACAGTCTCAGAGCATTGAGTGTCTCCATTTGCAAAATGTTCTCCAGAGCATTAGCAGTGAGACTTGACTCAGACTGACTTGTTATAATTCTTAAATCTCCTAAATTAGATGCAATAAAACTATCATTTGTCATGACTTGTGATGCCATGTGTGTTTTGGCATAGAATTGTGACAGAAATGGAGAACACCAATTGTGGGAAAGGGAGAACTGGTTGAGATTCTCTTTGATACAGTTGGTAACTTTGGATTTAGTAATATTTATCAGCAGATAGGTCAGGCTGAACATTGTATACACTGGGGCTCCAAGTATCAGTTCATCATCCAAACCATTTTTAATTCCTAAAAGCATTTCAGTGTCTCCCTCAGTACCCAGTTATATTGGAAATTGCTGCAGAACCATTAGCTGTAGCATTGCAGCCAGATAAGACCAAAGAAATTACATGTGGGGCTGAGAAATGTAAACATTTGATGTAAGGACGTGAATGAGTAGTCCACTACCTGATAAGCTCGGGTAGTACTTTCAACTACTCGATCACCCCCATCTCTTCCCCTCTCCCCCGCCCACTCTACATTCTTAAAGAGACAGGAGCTGGCCGCAGCACAAGCCTCCCTCCTGTTGCTCTGCATTATTAGGGATAGGGGAGCCTGCATGCAAAAATGCTGGCTCAATCCTGGTGGCCTATCTGTAGCATTCCAGCCTGACAACCAAGGGAAGTCCCAGCTGCTATCCCAGCAGAGGAGCATTCCATTCCAGGCAACCCCAGCTGGGCTGGGGTGGGGGGGCGGCTGGGAGAGACTGGAAGTGAGAGCTGCAGCTATGCTAAGGCAGCAGGTAGAGGATAGTCCACCTCAATTTAAGCCCGCTTGGATGGAAGGGGACTGGGAGAGACAGAAAGTCTGATCTCCAGCTGTACTGGGCAGCAGGAAGATGAGTGGGATTCCCTTTGAGCCCCAGAGGGCAGGGGGAAAGGGGACTGGGAAAAGAGGCAAGTTCTGGCTGTACAAGAACTCCGGTAACCAGAGTGTCTCTTGAAGTATTTGTAACCTGACATGTGTGACTCTGAGCCCCGGCTCAGGGGCTGCAGTGACACTGTGACTAGGAGAGTGCCTGTTCCCAAACAATTTCTATGGGTTCTAGACAAGTGAGAGCCATAACGTTTTACTATTTGTTTGGGGACAGGGACAGGTTTTGAAAGTCATTAAGTGCAAGCACCAGGTCTTCTAGTGTAGTTTTCTAGTGTAGTTTCTTGGTCCTTCGAAATGACTCAGTGACTCCTAAGTATGCTGACCATATGCCCTATAAAATCCAGGACAGTCCTGAATTTTAATCTTCTGTCCCAGTGCCCCCCATAAATACTGAAAATGTCCCAGAAACAGCGCACAGCCTGAAGCGCCTGTGCGCTGCAGTTTCCCATCCCCTTCCCTGTGCCCAGGAACACAGGGACTTCATAAAAATTTTTCCTGCTGCTCTGGAAGCAACCAGTAAGAGCAGTGGGAGGCGGTGCCTGACCTTGAGCCTTTGTCCTGGCTGGGCAGGTAGTCTGGGAGCTGGCACAAGCAGCAAGTGCCTCCCCGCAACCCTTATGCCCTTTAAAGTGAGTAAGAGCCATGCGGGTGGTCTTAGATTTAAAAGGCTGAGCTGGAAATCCGCTGATGCCAGTTTGCACAGAGCGCAGACTCTGCCTTTTAAATCTGAGACCATCTTCATGGCTCTTACTCACTTTAAAAGGCAGAGCCAGTGCTGTGCGCAAATCCTGCATCAGTTGGTTTTAGCTCAGCTGGCGTGGCTCTGCCTTTTAAATCTAAGATGAGCCACTTGTGCTCAGCTGTGTTGTGGGAGGTGGGGGAGTTCAGCCGGGGGTGGAAGTGGGGAGGAGCTCAGCTGGGTTGCAGGAAGGGGGAGGTGCTGGGCTGCAGGAAGGGGGAGGTGCTGGACTGCAGTAGGGGGGAGGTGCCAGGCACAGAGCTCAGCTAGGCTATGGGAGGGAGAAGGTGCGGAGCGTGGAGCTCAGCTGGGTTGCTGGACGGGGGAGTTGCCGGGAACCCAAGGACTGGGCTCAAGGGGAGGGAGGGAGGTGCAGGGAGCCAGCGCTGGACTCAGCACGTCAACTGGGCTGAAAGGGATGGGGGGGGAGGCACAGGAAACAGACGGGCAGCTCAGCTGGGCTGCAAGGGGGGCTGAGGGGAACTGGTGCTGGGCTCCACTGGGTTCTGGGGGATGGCCTTTGGGGAAGGTGCAAGGAATCGGGGTGGGAGGGGGAAAGGAAATGCAGAGAAGCATAGTGGGGTGGGGGCAGCAGCAGAGGGCCTGGAATGACCTCCCCTAGTCTGGAAGTAGCCCTCATCTGGGACCAGTGAGATCCAGAGGGTGCTGGACCAGGGAGGTACTCTTATGTATCCGGTGTTGGGCTTTTTATGTCATCAGAATGTGGGATGTAGCGGGTAATCCAGTTAAGGTCTTTGTTGAAACCTTTATTGTAGCTTTCAAACTTGTGTTTTGTCCCAACCTCAGAACCTAAGGGATCCATAAAATTCCCCAGAAAAGTAAATCTGGCTTATGAGAAGCCCTGAACTTTAGTCTTCTCTGTCCCTTCCCCTCATGCCATGGCACACCTGAGGAGTGAGGTGTCTCAGTTGGGGGCCACCTCAGTGAGGGTTGGAGTTTTGGGAGGGGTTTTTTTGTTTCTCACTTGTGTGGTTCCCATCTCATTTTTCTATGGGTCAGTGACCCCTGACCCAAAAAAGGTTGCCTACCCCTCCCATAAATAAAGAAAACATTGGAATCTTTTGTATTGGACATACATTTATATTTTACTTTACTTTGTTTAAAATTAAGTTTGATAAACTAACATGTGAGATTTATAACATTTAATCTGTTTAAAAATTGAAATTAAACCATTCTCCCCAGCTGTAGCACTAGCAAAATGGCTTGGGCATAATTGTATAATTAAAGGTGAGTTTCCATTAGCAACTGATGGTCCATGGAAAGGTTTACATTGAGACACATGGTCCACTGGCCAAAAAGTTTGAGAATCACTGAAATAGAAGCACCCCCAGCCTCTCCCCTTGAGACACCTCTGCAGGCTCCCTGCTGCTCCACAAGAGGCCCAGAAAGATCAGGTCTGTTACCAGGGCAGTGAAATCACCATGTTGCTCTGGTGTGAATGATGGACAGACTCTTTGTGAGTCTTCCTCATCCAAGCAGTTGATTTAAACAGCACGGTAAGATGCCATGTGAAAACGCTTGGTGTGTCCACAGAGAGACAGGATGTATCTTCTCTCTCCAGAGAGGATTGTCATGACTTGTGTGTCTGGGTAAACAAGCCCTTTATGAGCTCTGTGAAGAGGTGAGATGTTTAGACTTCCAGTTTCAAGGGATTTGTTCTTCTGTCTTTGGGTTGCACGTTGCTTTGACCTGAATGGAGTGACAACGCATTTATGAGTTATTCTGACACACAGTGAAACCTGTGGTAAAGACCCCACGTTTAGTGAGAGAAAGCGCTGCTGTCAGAAGAAGTAAATTCATAGTCTCGCCAATTTTCTTCAAAGATCACCTCTACTAGGCAGTGGGGCTTTTACTGATTGGTCCCTTATATGTTTGAAGAGTGACTAAATGTTACCTGGATCTTTTTGGGAAATATCAACAGATTGCTTTGGGCTCAATCCTAGCTTAAAATTTAAATTGGATCAGGCCCTTTGTAAGCAGGTTGGGAAGTGGTCTCATTCGGCAATTATTATTAGGTATCATTTACATAATATAGGTGTTACCATTATGGTATTGGCATATGCATTTCTCAGTAGTTTTACATATAAAACAGCCCCATTGATCTCCCCAGGCAATGTACCTTTCAAGCTGTAGTGGTGAGGGTTAGTGACGTGGTCTTCTCCACCCTGCAACTGTCATAGTTAGTTCAGTATTGTCATTCTGGCTTGTGGAAACAGAGGACATTTGATAATTTTGCAGTAACTTCAAAAAATGCTGTTGTATTACATTACAATGATGTTGTAATACATCTCATTAAGGATGTAAATTCCCATTCATCAGTTAACCGGTTAATGTTAGGTCACTCTGGGGCTGCTGCCAGCTTCCAGCCCCCTCTGGAGCAGCCCCTGTCAACAGCAAGCTGGACTCCCCATGGAGAGAGGTTGCTCTGGACACTGGTGCAGTCCCTGCCAGCTGAGACCCCAGGTCCCCACAGACAGGGGCTGCTCCAGACCACAGCAATCCCTGTATGCAGTGGGCCCTCTGTGGGGGTGGATCAGCCCCCTGCCAGCAGCAGGTGGGAAGCTGCTCCAGCCCCCTCTGATTACCTGTTAATTGGAGCTGTTAAGAGCACTAAGGAAGTTGTCCTAAGAAGTTGTGGGATAGCTCTGTATGATTCCCAGGTCCTTAGTCAAATGGGGCTGCATCTCTACTGCAAAATAATAGGTCTCGGATTCTGGATCTCATCTTGAATTGTGGTTGGACCTGTACTGCTGCAGTGTCCTGAGACCCTAAGTCTGGGGTCAGGATTAATGCAATTGTAATATAGTTGCATGGGGGACCCCTATAGTTCCCAAACTCATCCCTATTGGTAGAGGATGGTGGGAGGAGTTTTTAGAGGGGGGGAGGTCACATGATACCCTTTACTTCTGGTCATGTGTACATCTTGACCCTGCAAGTACTACCCCAGGGGAGGGACTTACTGAGGCAGATGGGTGGGGCCTAAGGATCAGGGGCGTGGCTAGCAGTGTTAGAAGGTGTGGTCAAGGTGTTCCTATTTTTAGTTCAGAAAATATGGTCACCATACTCATAAGTAAAGTAACAAGCACAACTGGGATTAGCATTTGCAGGCTGAAGACCTTATTTACATTACAAGGTCTTTCAAGCTGGGAAGCAAACTCCACAGCAATGTGTTAAAGTGCTCTGTTTCCTTTGGGAGGAAGGAAAGATTACCTAGTAAGCCTACTGTGACTTCTTTGTGTAATACAGTGAAACCAAGAAAGGCTTGCCTTTTTCTGTAAGGCTCTGGTCTGCAGCATTTGCAGTGTATGGGTCCAACACACTGAACCAGTGTGCTCTCACTGCCGGATCCTTTGTCCCTAATAATGCAGAAGGCAGCAGGGAGAGGGCATGGGGCTTGTGCTGAGATTGTCGGGTTGGCTGCTCTGTCCCTTTGATAATGCAGAATGGCAGCATGGGTTACGGTTGTCCTGAGAACCTGTGGGGGACCAGAGATTGAATCAGCATCTTTGCATGCTGATTCCTCTCTATCCCTTTAAGAGTGCAGAGTGGCAGCAGGGAGTTGTTCTGAGATTCAGCATGAGCCAGAAGTGAGTGTTTTAACTTCCCTTTCTTAAGGACTAGTTGAGTAGTAGATGGAAATGTGATTGATTAGCAAGTTAATTGCTACTTAACATCCCTAAATTGAGGTATAAGGACAATACATATCAACCAGAGAGAGAAGCTGTAAGCAGGCGCTAGCATGATGCTCCAATGTATTTAATAATCAACTAAGTCTGAGCTGACACTGTTGCATTCTGGGCTTTCTGGGATACAGGTTTTGCACTTAGATCTTTAATTGGAATCAGGAATGTGGGCCTACCCATTTCCAGTCTCTTGAAAGATTTTCTTAAAGTAAATCATGCTGTAACAGGTAAATGTAAAGCAGCAACTTCTCCTTAGGCTTCTTTCTTCTATGCTCTTTGAGGAGCAACTGAAGAGATGGGCCAGAGAGAACAGAGACTTCTTTACAAAAATTGCTCCTAGCTATAGACGCTTTAATAAATGCTATTGAGTTGTTGCCTCAGGTTGGGGGGGAGGGGCATTGAAAGAATGGGCAGTGCTTAGACTATTGCTTTTGAGCAAACTTTCTCTTGATTGTGAAGTGAGGAGCTGTTAGATGTGGGGAATATTTTGTAATGGAGAACATACTTATGGTTGAGTCTAAAAGGAAACAGCCCTGCCTAAAATTAATTCCTGGCTCTCCAACCTGTATTCAGATTACTAGACTGTCTCTCTCCCATTCTGTTTCATTTAAGTCAGGGAACCTAACGGCCAGGGGGCCGGATGTGGCCCCTGTCTTGCCTGGATCTGGCCCCTGAGGCTCCTCCCTCCCCCCCCAGCATGAGGGAGCCTGTGCCCATGGGGCTGGAGTGCACAAAATCTACTCGCCTGGGCTCCTGTAGGCTCTGGTATGCAAGAGTAAAGTGGGGAGTGGCTTTCTCTTACTCATTTGAGGGCCACATCAGTGAGCGTTTGGGTTTTTTTTTGCTTCTCCCCTTTGTATGGCCCCCAACTGATTTTTCTGAGAGTTATCAACTCCCAACCCAAAAAAGGTTCCCCCCCTCTGGTTTAACTCGTGCATGGATATTGAGGCCTGAGTAGTGGCTGCTGCTAATACTTTTCCTTTCATTCTCTCAGTCTCTGAAAGCAACACGGAATTTTTCCATTTCTGACTGGAGCAAAAACTTCGAAGTGATTTTCCAGGATGAAGAAGGTAAATGAACTTGCCCCTGCAGAAACTTACAGGCTCAAAAAAGGTGTGCCTGAAGCATAGTGGGAGCCACTTGGTGTGAAATTTAGCACTTCTGGCTGCTTTGTAACAAATACATCTATGTCTAGATCCTTCTATAGCCGCTCTGGTCTAGGTCCTTCTATAGTCTTCATACCTGAAGTTTTGAATAAATATTAATGACTTCATCTTCCCAACTCCTGTTAAGTAGGAAGGTATTAGTCCCAATTTACAGATGGAGATGTGCAGCACAGAGAATAAATGACTTACCTAAGGCTATTTGTGTCAGTGGCAGAGTTGTTTACAGAATCCATTATTCTTGAGTCCCCGTTCAGTGCCTTCATTTTATAAGACCATCCTTTCTTTGAGTTTGCAGCTGGGCTTCCCAGTGTGTTACTTATAAATGGTGACTGATTTGATAAGAATCACCTATGCAGAAAAGATATGAAGTGCTGGACTAAGAGATTTTGTCAGTCACTGTTGTATTTAAATGTGTGAAAATGCTCGCTTCATGGATCTGAAACCTTAGGTTTGAGTGAACGGAAAATCCTTCCAGCAACAGGAGTCTGATACAAGCAATTACAAGACAATTAAGTGAAAGACCATCTCTATACTTATTTTCCTGTGATCCCATTCCCACAATGCTCTGCCCATCAAAGTGACTTGGAGATAATGATGCTGTAGCTAAAGAAATAATTCTGATTTCCTGGCAGCTCTGGGTGGGAAGAAGAAATGGAAGAGAGTTGGCTATAACTCTGGGTTTTGGACTTGGTTTATCTTGTAGCACTGGACTGGGGAGGCCCCCGAAGAGAGTGGTTTGAGTTGATCTGTAAGGCTTTATTTGACACCACCAATCAGCTCTTTACCCGTTTCAGCGACAACAACCAGGCTTTGGTGAGTTCCCACCTTCCTACTTTGGGTGGACAGAGTTGGGCATGTGGGCATACTGTCTGCTGAACAAAAACACATAAAAAAACCTACTGTGCCTGTCTGCTGAAATACCTGCCCCCAAATCCTCCTAAATTATCTCCAAATTCTTGTTTGGATATCTCACTGGGTTCCAGAGTTGGAGCATTGGGCTTCCAGAATCTGGCACTTCCTTATAAGGCCTTATTGGGCATAGGATGCAGTCTGTCTGTCTATTAGAATCTTTCTTTTGTCATGGAGTGGAAGGCAAATTTTTGGTGCATAGCTTGGGGCAATGCACGTGGCTCATGTTGTGTCCCTGCTGGCAAGATTCTGGCTTTTAATCTCTGTTGCTGTGCTCTCATGCTGTCACTCCTGAGACCTACAATAGCTTTAATTTAATCACTGAGCCAAATCTATGGCCCATGTTATGCAGGAGGTCAAACTTGAAAGATTATTGTAATGGTCCCTTCTGGCATTAAAAGCTATGACTGTATGTTTAGATTTAGGGTGCATTTCCAGGGGCATGAGGGCATCTTCCTGGATGTGGTATGCAATGTGAATGGCAGGTAGGGTCATTGTTGCCATTTGTGTTAACCCGTGTCTTGTGGTGTTCTAATTCTGATCCCTCTCTTCTGCAGGTTCATCCCAACCCCGTCCGGCCCCCACATTTACGGCTGAAAGTGTATGAATTTGCAGGCCGCCTGGTAGGGAAGTGTCTCTATGAGTCATCTCTTGGAGGAGCTTACAAGCAGCTAGTGCGAGCTCGTTTCACCAGGTCCTTTCTGGCTCAGATCATAGGACTGCGCATGCATTACAAGGTAAGGCCACACTGGCTTCTGTGCTGAGCCCAGGCTGAAGTTGCACTGAATGCGATCTTGTTCCCAGCAGACCCAGAATTCCTGTTCAACCATGTATGTTAAATTCCTCCTTCTCTCTTTCTCCGCCCCTATACCTCATCTACCTTTCTTCCTCAGTATTTTGAAACAGATGACCCAGAGTTCTATAAGTCCAAGGTTTGTTTCATATTGAACAATGATATGAGTGAGATGGAACTCGTCTTCGCTGAGGAGAAATACAACAAATTGGGGCAGCTGGAGAAGGTGAGAGGTGGTGGATGAGGGTGGGGACAATCTCCACTCCTTTCATCATTGGTAGGAGAGGTTGGGAATTGTGTGGGATGTCCCTCAAGCAGTGGTTGAGGAAGAGTATCAGCAAAGTAGGAGCAGGGAGAGTTTCTTCAGACAGGGGTTCATGCTACAGGGATGATTCTCCTTATCCTCACACATTCTTACACCAACATCTTTGTGTGGTCTCTTGTTTCAGGTGGTTGAGCTGGTAACTGGAGGGGCTCAGGTCCCAGTAACCAATGAAAATAAGATCTTCTACTTGAATCTGCTTGCCCAATACAGACTGGCCAATCAGGTTAGAGAAGAGGTGGATCACTTCCTGAAAGGTAAGATACAGTGTGTGCTCCCTGCTTGGCTCTAACTTCCTGTTTTAGAGACACTGCCACTTACTGTCTTTTTGTCTTTCAGGTCTCAATGAGCTAGTTCCTGAAAATCTCTTAGCTATTTTTGATGAGAATGAGCTTGAGGTAGGTTCTGCTGATCCTGAGCCAGCCTGCTTTGCCCACTTACCCTCCTTTTCACATGACTGTAGAGCTGGCTGGGGATGAGAGAACTCAACACTTGCAGTGTCTCTTCTTAAAACATTCCCCCTTCTCCTTCCCTCCTCTCAGTGGTCGGTCGGTCTGTCTGTCTGTCTGTCTGTCTGAGGGAGAGAGCATTGAGTGTTTGTGAGACTCCTCCTTCTGTCACGTATACACTGGCTTCATGGATAATATATAATTATTGTTTATAGTTTTAATCAAAGGGTATTTGAATCATGGGTTCAGATGCTCTTAATGTCTTGTGGGGACATAGGAAGTCTAGCCAGACTATAATTGCCTCTTACAGCAGATGGCATGATCTAAAGAGAACAGGGCCAATTCCTTTAGGTCAGCATTCTACACTAATAATGAACCCATGGCAAGGTAGAGAGTCACTTATCAATTTTTCTGGTCTCCATTTAACATCTGAGTCTAGACTTCTTGGTGCACACATCCCAGTTCCAGCTCTGAGAGTCTCTACTTTGCATAGTTTTTATAGTACTCTGCTTTGTACAGGACCATTTGGGCATCCAAACATGAGGTCTTATTTCCTGATTAGCTGTTATCCTAAGAAAATTTTAGAGTAGCAGGGGAGCCATTAAGACTCTTAGTCCCCTCCTCTCAGGATTGCCCATATTTCCTGGTTTGGCAACTGTTTTTCCTCTTCCTTTAGCCCATTTTATATCTAACAGAAGAAGTCCAGTACTATATATGGGTATGTCTACACTACCCCGCTAGTTCGAACTAGCGGGGTAATGTATGCATACCGAACTTGCTAATGAAGCCCGGGATTTGAATTTCCCGGGCTTCATTAGCATAAAGCCGGCGCCCCCATTTTTAAAAGCCGGCTAGTGCGAACCCCGTGCCGCGCGGCTACACGCGGCACGGGCTAGATAGTTCGAACTAGGCTTCCACGAGGAGGCGTACAGATAGTTCAGATTAGAAGCCTAATCCGAACTATCTAGTCCATGCCACGTGTAGCCGCGCGGCACGGGGTTCGCACTAGCCGGCTTTTAAAAATGGCGGCGCCGGCTTTATGCTAATGAAGCCCGGGAAATTCAAATCCCGGGCTTCATTAGCAAGTTCGGTATGCATACATTATTCCGCTAGTTCGAACTAGCGGGGTAGTGTAGACATACCCTATGAGATTGACATTTTACTTGAAGTGTGTATGTTCTGAGCCCAGCATTTTGCGTGCCTCTTAAGGGAACAAAGCTGACTCTTGTAACTGGAATAATGGCTGGCTTCATGAGTACTTTGTGCTCTTGCTCTCATAACTGCAGGTCTTTTTCCTTTCAGCTGCTGATGTGTGGTACTGGAGACATCAGTGTCTGTGATTTCAAGGCTCATGCTGTGATGGTGGGAGGGTCGTGGCACTTCCGAGAAAAGGTAGGTGGGAAGTTTTTTTCTTCCTCCACTGAAATGGGCCGACTGTCACCTGCATCACTTGGACTCCAAATGGAAATTTCCTGCTCAAAGTGGGAAAAGCTTCCAGAAAGAAAAACTGGAAAGAACTTGGAGAAGAGCAGAGTAGAAAAGCAAGACCTGGGCCTGGTGGTATAGACACAGGAGAGCAGACTTTGGATCTTGGAAGGGAGCTTACAAAGAGGACAGAAGCCACTGAGGACAGAACAAGAATGACTGGACTGCAGCTGCAGCAGGGAAAGTTCAACATTAATACTGAGAAAAGAAAAGTCAACTGTAAGAGAATTTCAGCATTGTGGCAAGTCAAATGTTGGGTATATCACTCTTCAGTGAGGAGATTCCCATCTATCAGGGATGATTTGAGGATTTTTAAGTCCATGTAATTGTGAGGCGTAGGGTTGTCACCCAATAGAGGTTCCTTAACAAATGGCCCTAGTCTTCCCATCCCAGGAGCACTTCCCATCCTGATGTGGGGGGCTCATGAGACTATCTAGAGAAGTAATGGAAATTGCCAGTGTGTCCCAGAGGGAGACACTAGAACTGTTTCCCCTTCCAAACTGCCAAGGCACCAAAGGATGTGGGAGAGCAAAAGATTAGTAAAGGAAGCAGATGGGATTTGTATCTTAAGCCTAATTAGTTTTCCGATTCAGCATTTCAGCAATAGAGAGGAGCCTCTTGTGTGGGAAATCGATGAGACATCCTATTATACTAGAGGTGGGTGGTAGCAACAAGATATAAAGGTGACTGGTGAGAAGTGACTATGCAATTGTTCCTTTTCTGGTTTGCCTTCATAATATTGGTGGCCATAGCAGTTGGTAGAGCTACTTTCTTGCACATATTGCCTCTCTTCTTCTAGTAATCTGCCATTGTACTTGTATGTCCCTGCTTCCCTGACCTAATTCTGCCTTATTGGTCTCTATCAGGTCATGAGGTGGTTTTGGACCGTGGTCTCCAGTTTCACACAGGAGGAACTGGCCCGTCTATTACAGTTCACAACTGGTTCCTCTCAGCTGCCTCCAGGAGGGTTTGCTGCACTCTGTCCATCTTTCCAGATCATTGCAGCTCCAACCCATAGTACTTTGCCGACAGCACACACCTGGTGAGAGCCCTGGCCTTTGAACTCCCTGCAGTATATGTGTGGGATTACATTATGTGCTTGTGAGCGGTGAGTGCATCATCTAGTAGCATTTCTTGTTGTGAGCTGCCGGTACTACATGCCAGGTGTGTTGGCCCCTCTGAACTGTGAGCTGCTGGTAGCAAGCATGTGGTGGGCAATCTGTATAATGGGTGCTAGATGTGTGGTGGATACCATGTCATCCCACCCAAGGGCAGTGAGCAGCTGGAGACATTGGTGGATATTCGCCAACTGCACAAGTGGTGCTTATTAATTGTTTTTCTTTTTTCAGTTTTAACCAGCTGTGCCTCCCTACTTATGACTCCTATGAAGAAGTGCACAAGATGCTGCAGCTGGCCATCAGCGAGGGATGTGAGGGATTTGGCATGCTGTGACTCCCCTTCCACTTCCTTGCTCCTCAGGGCAAGGCATAGCTCCAGTCCACTCTCATTCTTCCCTTCACAAAGCAATGGGGACACAGCACAGACCCTGTCCAAAGGGGATCATCCTCCAGAATCTGGCATGCAGTCTTTCCGTGTCTAGAGTACATCACCAAGAGCTCGCCTCATACCCTCCCCTCACTCCCATCTCGGTTCAGGGTAGTACAGCGAAAGAGCTGTGGTGCATTCGTCAGGGTGATATGGCACTGGGATTGCCCCAAACTCTCTGCATTTGTCCCTCTGGGAGCAGGGAGTGCCTGTGAGCAGGAGTTGCAGTTTAGTACAGAAGGAGGTCTGTGTAGCAGTCATTACTGTAGCTATTTTTGGGGAGGACCAGCTTGAAACTTTGTTGGAGAGCTGGCGTGTGAGAAGCCTTAACATGTTGCCATGCTTTGGCCCAAGTCCTTCTCCTGATGCTCTCCTGTAGCTTATGTAACTACTTGTACTGCATGTTTCTGAAGGACACAGGCTTTGTTCCCTATTCAATACCTGACCCATTAGGGCTTCCAGTTCTCTTCCTCTCACTTGCACTGGAAGCTGACATCTCTTGCCCTTGCTGGAGAGGAGGAAGATTAGCATCTGCTAGAGAGAGCAATCCAAAGGCACACTCTCTCATTAGAGCACAAGCGCTGACCCTGGCAGTGACACTGTACTGCCTCTACAAGGGCTAGCAGCAAGAGCATCCTTCTGTACTGGCAGTGACTGGTACAGGCCTCTGCTACTAAGCTGGAAGAGGATATTCTCCTTCAGTAAATGTTTCTAACATTTGACCTAAAGTGGTACAGGAAGCTGTCCTGCATCCCTTGCCTTCCTTTCCCTTCCTCAGGAGAGGGGATGAGTATCTGTGTGAGCCCTCAATGCTGAGCACAAATGTCTCTCCAGTGTTCACCTTCGTGGCACGTGTGTAGTATCAGGCCAGCTGGCCAGCAGGCAGCTACTACTGTGTGCACTGGGCTTCTGTTTGTACAGAATTACAGTTGGGGTGATGGTATTGGACAGAACCCAGTACCTCAGCCCCTGACATTCCACAGGGTCTTGGCTTCTACCTCTATCACATGGCAGCCAGGGGCTCTGCCTGAAGTATGCTGGAGGAAGAAGGGAGTGCTTCCCGGAGGGGTGTTGGTGCCTGGAGAGCAGCTGGCCTTCTCTCCTACCAATCCTCTGCTGTTCTCTTCCAGAGCACTCTTCCTTGCTATTCCTTCTAGTGCTGCTGGCTTTCCAGCACACAGGGTACTAAACTGGAGCGTCTCCCAAACAGAGATTGAATAGCCCATCAGGTGGCATGTTGCACAACCACTGCCCAAATTATAGTTTGGGAATCAGTAATGAGCAGTAAATTTATAGCTACCTGGTTCTGTTACCTGTGACTATCCACTCAGCTTCTCCCATCCCAGCAAAACGAAAGGGTGAGGAGTCAAGGATCTTACTTGGCAATCTTTCCAGTTTCAGCAGTGAGACCAAAATCTGAACAGATAATTGAACTCCCAACTTGTCCTTAAAGTGCATCTCTCCAGGTCAAGACTGGAAGCACATTGGTGAGTGACTGGCATATGAGAAGAACCTGTGCTGTATGCAGTCACTGGAATGAGTAGGATTCAGGTTCTTAGGTTCATCTCTTCTAAGAGCTAATTTTAGAAAAATAGATAACGTTAAAAATTGTGCCATCACCCTCAGTTCCTTTATTCTGTGGAGCTGGAGCTGTCTTAAACAGGGCAGGACTTGCGGGGTATGGCTTTTAAGTTGGCTTTTCACTTTTCCAATACAACTCAACTAAATGAATTAGAACTCTTGGGAATATTCTAGACAAATGTCTTTTTATTAAGGCAGTATCTTAACTGCTCTTAGGGAGAGTGCAGCAGGGCCAACAGGCACAGCAGGCCCTTGGGCCAGGCGGGAGGGGGGCCTGAATCCGTGCTCCCTAAGGGGTGATGACAGAAGGGGCAAGACCAAGGGTAGTCAGCCCTTAGTACCATCCAGACTCAAAGCTACATGGAATAGAAAGCAATTCAAGGGGGCCAAGAGCTCCAGTCGCTGCTAAAGTAGCAGCAGTGGTGGCTGGGATCTCTGGGCTCCTTTGAAATGCCGGGTCCCCATGCCGGGTCCCCATGCAGTTGCCCAATCTCCCACTGTTGGCAGGCCTGGGAGAGTGCATCACATCTCTACAGAAATATAAGCTATTGTGGTGCCCAATCCAGCCAGAACTCCAAGCATTCTGTAAAGTATATTAATTCCCCTTCAGGAATTGAAGTGCTGAGAGAGAGCCTGATACATAGCTGGTGCAGTTCTTCCCTGACTGATCACTTTAGCAATGGCTACTTTGTCCCCTTTTTAAAAAATACTCTCCCTTTGTGTAATGCTCTGACCTCCTCTGAGTGGAGAGTGTGGTTCCAACTTATTTGCACTTTGGGTGGTTTCTATAGTCAGTACATTTGGGGCTTGTGTGTACTATTCCACTCATGCACTGCTCTTTCTAGAGACCAAAAGAAGGTGGCACTGTTGCTTTGCTCAACTCCTATTGGTTGAGGAGGTGCAGCATGTTGCTGTTCCCTCATTGCAGTCTTATGTCTTGTTCTTTGGCCTGGCAAGGGGCCTTTTGAACCTTGTGGTTATAGGTTAATTCTGCTGATGACATCTTCCTCAGGAATCTTTTCCCTCCTTCTCTAGGGCTGAACTGTTTCTACATTGAGGACAGAGTGGCTAGACATTGAATAGCTTTATCTGCTTGAAACAGCTCCCTGATCCTCCTTGCAGTTCAGCCAGCACCCCTTGTCTCCGTAATTATACAGATGCCAAGGATTTTCTTTCAATACAAGTGCAGTCAGAAATGTGGTGGATGCTATTAATTTTTAGTTGAAAACCTTTCTTTGTTTCCAAAGGCCTTTAGCTGGTCCCATTTCTCCCAATGCTCCACCACTTCTGTGGTAGAGGATCTTTGTCTCTTAACCTCTTCCTTCCTCTTCCCATCACACCCACCTTATATGCTGCCCTTACAGTACCAGTGCGGGGCAATGTACGGAATGCACTGTGGTCAACTGTACTGTATGTTTTCTGCTGCAGAGGCTCCTTAGTTGATCCCTTAAACCCACCTAATAGAGACGCTTCAGTAGAAAGTTTTTGGTTCAGGGTACTAGCTCAGACAGATTCCTCACCTCTCTGGAGCTGCTGTAGACCTCACAGGGCCTGGCCTCTGCCTGTATTTGAGGTTCATGATGCATGTTTTAGAAATCAGAGACTAAAAGAGAGAGGCCAGGCCCCAGCTCCAGCTGGCAAGTTCCAA